GCTCTGCCTCGGCGGCCTCAATCTCCGCGGCCTCCCATTGATTTGCGACGTTGACGTTGTTTAGAAATCTCTTTGCAAGATCAAACTCATTCAGGGAGGAAGAACTCAAAAGCACAAGCTGCGATGCGCAGAGAGGGGAGGGGCGGGGTTTTTAGAGGGACGTGGGGGATGTAAGGCGGGATGTCAGGGAGGTGGAAAGAGGGCGCGGTGGATTGCGAAGAGCTTCCACGGCGGGCGCAGGGGGCCGTTTGTTGTGACGTGGAAGTTGCAGGCGGGGGCGGCAGGTGGAGGCTGGCTGCGGGCTGGCGGGCGGGCGGTGTTGGATATCGCTACTACATATACTGTGCACATCCCTCTCCACCTGTCTCCTGGCCAGGGGGCACTCCCTTTTACCACAGGCGGGGACCGGTGAGCGATGCGCGAGGCGTGATCAGGCCGTGATGCGAGTTGCGTGATTCGCGCGGCTCGTCAGTTGCTGACGGGGCGTGCCTTGCTTTGCCCCGGCCTCGCTTGCCGTTGCGCGCGGCGACACGTGCTTGCGGCGTCAGGCGAGGGCGCTGACGGGCGGGCCTGCCTCGCTTGCAATAATTTACTATTACTGTATGGGCAATGCGAGTCTATTGCCACGCTTGCCACGCTTGCCTCGCTTGCCTCGCTTGCAATAATTGACTATTACTGTATGGGCAATGCGAGTCTATTGCCACGCTTGCCACGCTTGCCTCGCTTGCCTCGCTTGCCCCTGCAAGCGTCTCGCGTTTGCGCCTTGTTGTGACTTTCCCTAGTTTCTCGCTTGCCTCGCTTGCCACGCTTGCCACGCTTGCCACGTGTCAAGTTTTCCCTTACGCTTGCCTCGCTTGCGCCTGTCCTCTCCTGCCCGCGCCTCGCTTGCCTCGCTCGCGTTGCAGCGCCGCCGACGTGGACACCTGTACCTGTGTACACGTGTGTCTACTTGCCAGCGCGCGCGTGCCAGCGCGAGGGCCGCACGCAGACGGAGCGCGGGTACAGGGGTACAGGGGTACAGGCCGCCCCCCGCTCGCACCGCATTTGCGTCGCCGCACCAAAAACGTCTACAGCACTGTATGGCGCCCACGCGCCCAACACCTGCACCTCAAACAAACGCGATCGCACCGCCGCTTGCTCCTCCCTCGACACGTACCCCCGGACAATCTTTTTACACTCTTGCTACGGTACACTGCTACCTACACTACGACACCCCGCCAGCCCGTGTCCACGCCAAAAACCCTACATCGCTGCCTCCACACCCGCCGCGTCTCCACCGCCCGCCTCCTCACCGCCCGCCTCCTCACCGCCCTCCTCCCCCTCCTCCGAGCTGGACGTCACCGCCTCTCCCACGCGCGTCTCCTTCTCCGCAGCAACATCCTCTCCGTCCACCTCCGTAACGACGCCCGACTCGAGGTCATAAACCGCGCCGACGACCTCGCACGCGAGTCCCTGCAGCCTGCGGACAGCCTCTCGAACATTCTCCTCCACGCCGCCATCGCGCCCGATTCCCTGCGCGATGCGCGCCACGTG